GTGTGTTCACTGTGTGTGTGTGTGTGTGTGTGTGCACTGTGTGTGTGTGTGTGTGTGTGTTCACTGTGTGTGTGTGCACTTTGGATGGGTTAAATGCAGAGCACTAATTCCAAGTATGGGTCACCATACTTGGCCACATGTCACGTCACTTTAGAGAGCCTCAGGCCATTCTTATTGTTGAACTCTGCCCTATGGATAAATGTTGTCATTTCTCACTTTCAGGAGTGAAGTCTGGCCCCTTAAAGTCTACAGAGGCAGTTTCACCGCTGGACTCAACGTCTGCCGCAGGTGTCCCAATGGCCAGTGAAGATTCCACAGAACAACTTCCAGGAGATGCAGCTGGTTCAGAAGTGAAGCCAGATGCAGTGGAGTCATGCCTGCTGGACGCCACTGATGCTGGTGTTAATGAACCAAACCTTCAAAACAACCTGATGGAAAGCCATCAGATGGAGCAGGAGGAAGTAGAGAAGCTTCAAGGGGAGATGGAGGAAGATCTGGATTTAAGACAACAACCGGGTATGGACCATGAAAGCGGACCAGAAAAGGCCGATCTAACTGACCAGAACGAAGAAGAAGAAAATTTTGCACAGGGACAATCTAAGCAGAAGAATGCTGAAGAAGTAGAGAAGAATGAAGAGAGCAAGATCGCAGAGGATGCAGCACAGTGTTCAGAAGAGCTTGTGATCGCTAAAGTCGAGGACTTTACCAATGAAATGGCAATAGATGTGGACCAGACTGAGGATCGCGATGGGAGGATGGAGGTAGATGGATCAGATGATGCAGGTTGGTGTGATCTTTTTGCCGGTTATTAGATGTGTCCTGTTGAGATGACCTGCAAACACATTTTGGTAGTTATTGATATTGATTGATGATTCTGTGTTTTGATAAATGTTCATTTCTGAACATTATTTCACAGCCATTGAAAAGCATTCAATGAAATTCAAAATGTAATTGAATCCCTAAATATGTTTTTAAAATGTTTTAATATTGAAAATCAAATGCATGTTTTTAGATACTGCATAATGTTGCTGTATCATTAATATTATTTTTTTTTATTGCCATTTAACTAAATAGAATTGAGGAACAGACTTGACTGTTTATTCTACATAATTTTTACATTTAACAGGAAAATCTTTTCCTAAATGCATAAAAAGGGAGAAAACGGAACCATCTGTCGTGGTGAGCACAGTTATTATTTTATGTTTACCATCGAAGTTAATTGAGTTTGCTTGTTAATCCATGTAGGAAGTAAACTCCTAAAACTAAAATCCTCTCTATCTAAATCCAGCAAACACAGTCAATGTTAAAAACTGAGTTGAAACCTGAAGTGGCCCAGCTCTCTGGTGCCCTACCAGTGAAGGTGAAGGATGAGCCAATGGATGAGGAGTATGAGAAAGTGTCGGAGCAACTTGGCCCAGTGGGCAACATTAAAGATGAGCCCAACACAGCAGCTGTAAGTTTCAACAGTGATTTCTGCCTTTTATTTATTTATTTTTTTAAATAAAGGTTAAGATACCGGTATGATTTTTATTTAAAAAATAAAAAATAAAAATTTGACACAAGACTCTTATGCTCTCCAGGTCAGCATTTATTTGATAAAAAATACAG